ATTTCTTGCTCGGTATGCCATGACGAAAAAAGTTGAGGGGTTGGGGGGGGGGGGGGGCACGAACCTGGTGTAGTAACTACGCGGCTCACTCTGGGTTATTATCGGACGTGAGGCAATTGGCATATGAACCCCGTACCAGCCTATACTTTCGCAGTCATGCCTACGCTATCGTTAAGTAATGAAGCATTCCGTACTCGCCCTCAATGAAAAATGCGAGTTTTTTTGTCACGACTATATAACAGTTAAAAAATGCCGGAAACAGCTTTTCCTTAACTGACTCTACACGTATCTCTCTATGTATATAGGCATCTATCTATCTGCAACGAAATCGAAGCTTGCAGCTCTTGCATATTGCCCTCATCATATTGCAGCCACCGTAGCCCATTATCGACCTCGTGCTTGACACCTCAGCGGGTAAACTACCATGGCAGGTCTGAAAAAATTGTTTCCTGGCATTCATCATTGGCCCACTATGATTTGCGGTCGCAGTAACGAGTAACTTGTAACTAAGCTTTTTTTTTTTTTAACCTCTCTCCCGTTCTTTGTGTCCGCTGCTAAGACAAATGCGCATGACTGTAAGAATTACATGCGACTAACGGAACAAAATGGTTGAGCTTTCAGCTTTATGGCGTCCTGGTCAGTAGCATCTGTACCGGCTCGCATTGAGCGCATTTTGAGAAAACGCCGTTTTGCATTCAAAGAATGTCACGCGGATAGAGCCATCATTGTTACAACCATGGAAACGGTTCTGCTGGACGTACCTGGTGTCACCTGGAGTCTGGTCGGAGGCGAAGTGTGAGGATGCTCCCGCGAAAATGAAACTCACTGACCAGTTTTCGAAGGCTCCTCCTCTTTCTTGTCAGCGAGATGCATTGTGGGACTCTTTCCATTGGTCATTTCGTGGCTGGCCCGAAGCGGAGACCGACGCCTAACGGGCGAGGGGTCGTGTGCAACCGGGTCGCGCGAAATTGTGTGCAGCGTTGGCAGGTCCTGACGTGCAATTTCACCCTTTGCAGGTGCAGCAGATTATGGTCCGCGCTGCGTTTACAAACAAACATCGCAGTCTTGCATTTTTATTTCAATTTGAAGAGACCACTTTGTGTCTCGTTTGAACGGAATTTTTAACGGCGAACGCTTTTGTGAAGCTAGACTGGAACGCTGGCTGCAAAATAAAAAACAGAAGAAATAGGCATATACGTATATACAGCTGACACCACAACCGCGCGACTCATAAAAAACAAAACTAAATTATTTATGATGCCCCGAAATGCATTTTTCCTTCAAAGAACCTTCATGAGACGTAAGGTTGCAAACAAGAGACACGTAACGTTTAACCCAGTATAAAGTCAGTGTCAGAATTTTAGGAACCACGATGCAAAACAAGCAGGTGATCACTGCTTCGACAGGCACTCATAAAATCGGATTTGCAGCCTGTTCTAAAATGCTCCAACAACGCGTACTGTGCAGTTTGACCGAATCAGTTAAACAATCGGTGAGAAATGAGAAGTTTTCACAATTCTTTTAGTCACGATACTTTTGCCGCCGACAGTACTTTATTCAAACTAAAAGCTCTTTTTTGCGTTTTCTGCATCGCTATTTACACGGTTCACTTGCTTCCGCTCAAGGACATGTCACCAATTACGGAAGAGCCCAAGGAAAACTATGGGTCTATGAACCACGACTCGAACGCTTACCTGTTCACAAACTATCAAATACATCACCTGTGCATAATACTTCTTGAACAGTATGAGTAGCATTCCATAATCCCAGACAAGATTATGAAGTAGGCACTTTTGAACTAGTTCCGACGCGTTAACTGCGAAAAAAAAAAGAAAACATAAGTAAGCATGGCTAATAAACTGGACACACATTAAAGGAGACGGTGACGACTGCGTAGCGCCTATTGTCGTATGCGTTGTGTATCCGAGTTTAATAATGATCATATCTAGTGGTTTACATGTTAGGGTGTGACTTTAACAAACGCGATCATGGTGGGTTGCATTCAAATCGGTTGTTATAAAGAAAGCTAACAAATTAGAAGTTAAGCATTTGCGGTACATTCAAAGTGCATTTGTTACTGAATAGTTGCCTACATAACAAACCAGAATTAGGAAGAAAAATAAAGGGCGAATAAGGGGGAGCAAAGAATGCTTACGGGAGTTCAGGCTATTACCAGAGTCCCTCGGAAAGTATCAAGGAACTCTGCTGTAACTATAACGCAACTGAAAGTTGTTCGGGAGCGATACATGCAGTGAACCATAAGAACCTGGTGCCGTAAGCGCGACTTGGCATTCACTTACCTTCGTGCGCAGTCGAGATCGGACTGGACGTGAGTTGGCCGTCCACCACATTCGGAGGACATGCGTTTCGATGAGAAACCACATCAAACCGAGGCATCCGAGTGGCTTCGCTTTGCTCACAAAACTAAACATGGAAACGTAAAAAAAAAAAAAGAGGAAAGTACTTGGGAGGGAGTACTTGGGAGGGAGGAAAGTGTCGTTGTCTGTTTACGTCGTACATGGTTGGCGCCTTCGACGAAGATGGCGAAGCCCCGCAGTGGGGCGGGAGCTGCTTCTAAAATGCCAGGTTGAAAGGTGTCAGTTCTTCAAAGGTTAGAAAGGCATTGCCAGGCTTGTTTCTATATTTAGAAACGGGCAAAGGCTCGATCAGAGAAGGGGAGGAAGACAAAGGAAAGAAAGGGAGGTTGGACGGAGGAGGTCCCCAGCTTACTGCCGTGTATTTCGAAAGGAAAAAAAAAACGGATGTGAACGAATGAAAGAGAGTTTATGAATTTTGACGCCAAGAATTAGAGCATTTGATTTTCTCTGATTCAAGATAAAGAGTGAAATTTCCTGACAAGGGGAAGAACACCAAAGGAAACGTCAAGTACGAGCGCTCTGTTTTAAGTTCACGCATGTTGAAGAAAGAAAGAAGTAAAAGTTAGCATACATAAAAAAGCACTGTTCTGTTGTTGATTTTGTTTTAAATCACGCTGTTCACTATGAATTTATGTTGGCGCTGCGAAGTCACTACGAGAGTCGGTGCTACAAAATCATTACGAGAATCTCGATCGGAGACAGCAACAGAGGCATTAATAACGACTCCAACCACATTAAGTGTCCCCCCCCCTGCTTTCTCCTTCCCCCTACCCGGCGCATCGTGCTAGCGTCAGCAGTCGATGTGCTGCAACAGAAATTGTTGCTGGGATAGTTTGTAAACCATTCCGGAAATTATTTTAATACAAACACGTGGTGAATTCACACACGCACACAAGCACGTTTGGTGCCTGCATGTGTGGGTGTTTGCGTGTGTGCGCAGAAATAATTTTTTGGGGAAAAAAAGACCGATGTGCTGTTCGCGGGGTCTCTCAGAACAAGTTCCTGAAATAAAGGTTAAAGAGGTGCCCGGCTTCCCTTTGGTGGCGACCAGACAAGCACTACTGGATGGAAACGAGCTTCCGTGCAGTGGCCGTGACAGTACAAGCCACGCGTGCATACATACCACAACAAGTAAGCGGTCTTCGCCACCCCTCCCCCAACTCACCTCCCCCCCCCCACTCCATACAGCCTGAAACAAGGTCGAGCCTTCTCTTGTAGAAGAAAGCACGGTCTGCGCTACGCTCGTCTCCGCATCTCCCTTCAACTGCGACGTGATGGCTGCGCTCGTTTTCCCACTCAAGTCGTTCGGTTCCTATCCAAACAAAGCGTTTCCATCCACAATGCAAGCGCTGGCTTCTCAAACATGCCAAACGCGGTAATTTCTAGGTGGATAAGCTTCCAGGTAGAAGGTGTTGTTGGGGAGGAAGACCCGGAAAATGTTTGCAGCTGCTTTCTCGCAGAAGCAAAGAAGGAAACGGAAAATACACTCGACAGAAGAGAAAAAAAAAAACATTTCCAAAAGTGCATGCATTTGGACGAGGATGAAAACAATAAGAACGCAAAAAGGAATTCGAAGAGTTAGAGAGCGTAAACATTAGAAGGCAGCCAGCACAGTATCTGCACCAACGGCGTGTTTGAAAGTGTAAAAGTTCCTGAAACTGCTTCGGGACTTCGTCAAGAAAACGGCGCCTACACGATCCACCTTACTCGCCTTTGCTTTAACCCACGACTGCGGTATATAGCTTCTTTCCGGGCCCCAACTCTGCCAAAAATGCACGGAGTTATTTCTTTCCTCCGTGATGAAAATTCCACAATGGTGGTATCGACCGTAGTGGGGATTATTGGGAAAAGTATTCCCTAGGAATCGGCAGTTTTAGTTTCATTTACGACGTTAAATTAGGGGAAACTTTGAGTGATGTCATGCCGTCACGACGCCAGTGTCAAAATGATTAAAGGCCCTCCCACTACAAACGGCTCGTACATAGTTGTTCATGATCAGCTGTAAAAGCGTCAACAAAGCGAGCAGCTGCGCAAGTTCGCGCGTTGCCTTGCAGACTTAGAAGTGTGGCAGCTTGGGCTAGTTGGTATGACATGGCGATAGTTATAGCGCGAGAACAGAACGACGACACAGAGACAAGAGGGACCTTCGTGTCCTTCTTGTCCCTGTGTCATCGTTCTGTTCTCGCGCCATAACTATCGCCTTGCAGACGCGTAGTGGGACCATCGCTGATATGCAAAAGGAAGAATTAATTATGGCTTAGTGGGCACTTGACAACCTGTACTTGCAGTAGGCATTCGAGGATAGTTTGAAACGGTCAACGCGACGCTCACAGTCGTTCGTTTCTGTACGACCCGGTTGAGGGCCCATGGACCGAAGCGCCACTAGCAGTTGAGAAGGCAGTAGGCATGGCACCCGATTACGCTATCGCGTTCTACTCTCGACGGCGAAGCTCAAAGCGGCTTCCAAGTTTGTTTTTTAAGAGTATTTAGGAAACTTACTATTATTTATTTGCGTTCCCCTTAACTATGCTTTCAGTAGCAATTTAGTTAGCTGAATAAACAGCATTCTCGCTTATCACGTTGAAGTAAAAATTGAAAAAAAAAACGACACAGGCTTGACTCTGATACGATGAAAGTGATCCGGTATGACCGATCACACTTTAATAATGATTTATGAGTGCTAAACAGCCTACGTTTCGCAGCGCACGATGGGTAATTTACTGACCACGTTCTTACCACAGGACTAAAGAAAATTGTTGCTACGTACAAGAAAGAAGACGAGCGAACATTAAAATGATTTCTTAATTCAGAAAGTTATCATGGCGTTGAACAGGGGCGAATCTTCACTGTGGATTGAAGAGAGGTGGCTTGGTCTGTCTCCCGGGGTGCGTACTCTGGACCGACCGAAAGAAGAAGGTACCTGCAAGAAAGCAATCGCAGCAGCAAAGTCTGAGCAACAGATGACACCTGCACGTAGTGCACTTGTGAAAATGCAGTTCACTTTACAATGATCAGAATGCAGGGAAGCCGTAGGCAATGCGTGCGTTTCGCAGAGTGTTTGCTTTAAAATGCGCTCCTAATTATAACCTCGAATATTTTCCAATATTTTTCATTATAAGGGGGAGAGGAGACTACCCCCCCCCCCTTCTTTGCGCAAGCCGGGATATTTTTTTAAAGAGCATGGCTATGGCTTTTCTTAACCGCCAGCGGACTGAAGGTCATCCTGTCTAGTAGCTTTTTCACAGGGGGCTGTTCACGTCCGTTTCTCTTCTTTCCAGGCTTTTGAAAGATTCGGATCATGGTGCAGTGACAAGTAGGAAGTAGGGTGCCACCGTCACATTGAGAACTAAGTCGCAGTACACACACACACACACACACACACACACACACACACACACACACATATATATATATATATATATATATATATATATATATATATATATATATATATATATATATATATATATATATATATATATATATATATATATATATATTGTGAGCGCGACAAGCGAATGACTCTTTATTCTCTTTGATATCATCATCACCTGTTCATCTTCTTCATCTGAAAATATCATAACCAGCGTGATTTAGCTCGAGCCTGGCTGAATAAAACGGTTCCTCACAAGTGGTGGTCTGTGCTTTTCGTTCCCTCAAGTCCTCTCGCCCGTTCTCGCTGGAGATCCACTCGGGTCGTCGCATACAACCCCCTGCCATGGCGGCCCAAGAAAACCCTGGCCCATCCAACGTCGCCGTCTATACTGCAGCCACCGCCACCCACTCCGCCCAACAACATTCGCCTGCGTGATCCACCTGTGTTTTCCGGTCTCCGAGGCAATGATGTCGAAGACCGGATCAAGAACTACGACCTCGTCAGCGATTTGAACAGGTGGGACAATCCACAGAAGTTGCGCAGCGTCCCATTTTACTTGTCCGATGTTGCGAAAACTTGGTTCTGGAACCACCACCCGGATCTTCCCGACTGGGACACTTTCGAGCAGCAAATTCGTCAGATATTTGGTGCCCCTGCAGTTCGCACTGAGGCAGCAAAGAAGAAACTCGCTTAACGCACGCAGCTGCCGGGTGAATCTTACACCTCTTATACTGAGGATGTCCTTGCACTGTGCAAGCGCGTCAACACCGGCATGTCTCAGAACGACCAAATACGCCACATTATTAAAGGCATTAACACCGTCGCCTTTAACACCCTCGCCACGCAAAATCCTGCCACCACCCAGGACGTGATAACCATCTGTCAGCGACTTGGCGAGCTTCAGTCTCTTCGCCTTTGCTACGATGCCACCGACGTTCGTTTGCCTGCACCCCTCGACTTGCGTGCGCTTATTCGCGACATCGTTCGTGAAGAGCTGCACGGGCACTGCTCTTCCTGTGCTGCGGAAGTTACTTTCCCTTCTGAAAAAAATAGCTTGCGAGACCTGATTTAACAAGAGATCGCCTCCGCATCGCGTCCGACGTGTTCCAACAGTGCCTGCGTGTGCCAGACGCGCATGTACGCCGAAGTTGCCGCGCTCTCTGCCGCACCCACCGTTTCTGTGCCTACAACAGCAGACCATACGCTTGTGGCTTCGTTATCACCGCCTGTGCGTGCACCACCTTACTACGCACCTCAGCGCCCACTTCGACCAATCTGTTACTACTGCGGCTATCGAGGACATATCGCTCGGTTTTGTCGAAGGCGCCAACAAGACGAGCAACGCGGCTACGCTCCCGAAGAACATCGAAGCTTCCGTCCGACCATGCATGAACTACCTATACGACCACCTCCCGATCGTCCTATTACCGTTCACCGTCTCCTACTCACCATATGGACATGCCTGGGAATTCCCGTACGTCTCACCGCAGGTCGCCTTCGCCAGGTCGCCGTTCAGTGTCGCCTCTGCGGCCCGCCTCCCATTCCACGAACGCCCACGCGGAAAACTCCCCAATGCAGTTTTAGGAGGGGAAACTGCATCTACCGGACAGCTAACAATTCCTCCGGAGCGGCCATCGAATTTGATAGTAGTGTTTGTAGAAGGTGTACGCGTTGAGGCTCTTGTAGACACTGGCGCTGCCGTTTCGATTATTCGTGCTGATTTTTGTTCCCGCCTTCGAAAAGTCACCACACCTTATGGCGGCCCACCTCTACGTGCGGCGACCAACGCTCTCATTCGTCCACTTGCACAGTGTACCGTTCGTGTCTGCATAGAAGGCATTCGTCATCACATTGTTTTCGCGGTATTTCGTGAGTGCACCCACGCTCTAATTCTTGGGTGGGATTTCTTGTCTTCTGCGTCCGCTTTCATATCACGTCATCAGTGCCTCCTGCATCTAAATGCCACTGACTATTCTCCGCTTGAACACGATGGACGCATCCGCCTTGTCACCAAGTCAGATTATGTACTTCGGCCATACATCGAAGAAATTATAAGTGTTAATTGCACCGACATTGTGGATGGTGACGTACTAATTCTCCCTTACGGTCATACCCTACGTAGGGGCATTGTGATCACACCAGGGCTTATTCGCTTCTTCGATGGGTCTACGTACCTTACCGCCATAAATCAAACGCCCGAGTGTGTACTGCTCCCCTGTGGCTCAACAGTATCTCTCGCGGTCGACAGTGAGCCTGTTGCAATTGTTACTCTTCCGAACAACAACCACAACGATGTTCCGAAGTCACAATCACTGCGATTCAATGCCTCTGCCACACCTGTGTCGGCAACAATAAGCAATGACTTAACACCTGATCAAACTGAAGATTTGCTCGCCCTGTTAAATAGACACCGTTCTCTATTTGACGTGAACTCGCCCGCCCTCAGCATGACTACCACCGCTACTCACCACATCCAGACTGACGGCTCTCGTATTGTACATCGGCGTCCATATCGCGTGTCTCAGGCAGAACGCAAGATCATCGAGGAAAACGTCTCAGACATGCTACGACGCAACATCATACGTCCTTCCTCGAGTCCCTGGTTATCCCCAGTTGTTCATTCTCGTTCAAAAGAAAGATGGGACAGTGCGTTTCTGCGTCGATTACCGTGCGCTAAACAAAATAACGCGCAAGGATGTTTATCCCCTCCCTCGGATCGACAATGCACTGGATTCATTACAGGGCGCACAGTATTTTTCCAGCCTCGACCTTAGGTCAGGCTACTGGCAGATACCAATGTCGGAGTATGATAAAGAGAAAACCGCCTTTTCAACGCCAGATGGGTTGTACGAGTTCAATGTGATGCCTTTCGGACTCTGTAAGGCTCCCGCCACCTTCGAACGCATGATAGACGGAGTATTGCATGGTTTGAAATGGAAAACATGTGTGTGCTATCTCGATGACATGGTCGTGTTTTCATCCACGTTCTCGCAGCATCTACAACGTCTTAACGAAGTCCTCACATGCCTTGCAAAAGTCGGTCTACAGCTTAACACCAAGAAATGTACTTTTGCTAGCAAGACAATCAAGGTTCTCGGCCATCTTGTCGGCAAAGAAGGAATTCGGCCCGACCCCGAGAAGCTTGCCGCTGTCCTCGATTTTCCTCGTCCACTACGTCAAAAGGACCTGCGCAGCTTTCTTGGGTTATCTTCTTACTTCCGGCGCTTCATACGTGGTTTCGCGGAACTTGCGCCTCCGCTGCATCAACTCCTCGCAAGGAACGTCCCCTTCATTTGGTCCGAAGACTGCGAAAGCGCTTTCACGGCATTGAAGCAAGCCCTCACATCGGATCCGGTACTGTGCCACTTCGATTCCACCGCACCCACCATCCTTCACACCGACGCAAGTAGTCATGGTCTTGGTGCGGTACTCTTGCAGCGTGACAAAAACTCACACGAACGCGTCGTTGCTTACGCAAGTCGTGCTCTTACCGCTCCAGAAAAGAACTACACTATCACCGAGCAGGAGTGCCTCGCTGTTGTTTGGGCAGTGCAAAGATTCCGATCATATCTTCACGGCCGTCATTTTACCGTCGTGACCGACCATAACGCCCTATGCTGGCTTTCATCGCTGAAAAACGTATCGGGTCGCCTCGGCCGCTGGGCGCTTCGCTTGCAGGAGTATGATTTCGATGTCGCCTACAGATCTGGGAAGAAGCATCAAGATGCTGACGCTCTATCACGCTGTCCTTTGCCCAGCGGAAGCCACTCACCATCGATACTCCAAAACGACAGCGCCTCTCCAATCGCAGCGTTAAGTTCATCACCTGCCACCCTATCCGTCCTTGTTTCACAACAACGTGTCGACCCATACTGCCGCACCATTGTTGACCGCTTGACCGGCTCTACTACTCCTCCAAACGCCAGACTCCGTCGACAACTTAAACAATTTAAGCTTGTCGGTGATGCTTTATGTCGCTACATTTACCACATCGGTGGCAACAAATGGGTACCCGTCATTCCACGTTCTCTGCAACGTGAAGTTCTGGAAGCCTTTCACGATGATCCAACCGCCGCTCATCTAGGCTATCACAAAACTTACGACAAAATACGAAGTCGTTGTTTTTGGCCTGGCCTCTCTTCAGCCATCGCTAAGTACGTCGCCTCTTGTGTCCATTGCCAACGGCGAAAACGACCGACAACTGCTCCGGCTGGCTTAATGCAACCTCTTCCTTGTCCCGCCTCACTTTTGAAGTCGTTAGAATCGACTTGTATGGCCCTCTTCCTATATCATCCAATGGGAATCGCTGGATTGTCACCACCGTCGACCACCTTACCCGCTACGCAGAAACAGCTTCTATACCACCTGAGACTGCCACTGAGATAGCCGATTTCTTTCTTCGCCACATCTTTTTGCGTCATGGAGCTCCACGCATTCTCCTGAGTGATCATGGCAAAGTCTTCCTCTCTTCTATTGTCGAGCAAGTTTTGCGTGCCTCGAACACTGTTTAGCTACCACCCGCAGATTAACGGATTGACTGAACG